TTTACGTCGATCGTTCACATCAGCACTACTAGCCTCAGCACACCATTGACGGCGTTCACACACAGTTAACGGTTCGAACGCACGGTAGGATTACGAGGCTGAACCCACTGTATAATCACCGGTCCTACCTTTACGTCGATCGTTCACATCAGCACTACTAGCCTCAGCACACCATTGACGGCGTTCACACACAGTTAACGGTTCGAACGCACGGTAGGATTACGAGGCTGAACCCACTGTATAATCACCGGTCCTACCTTTACACTGACTGGCCAGACGCAAGAGAAAACACAAAACACGTCCTCCCTCAAGCACCCAGACAGAGACCTCTCCACACGCTCCTTCCAAATTAGTCCAGGCTAGGCGTAATATGGTCATAATAGTGTAAGCTTGTTTTTTGACATATATAATGTTTTTTTGCTGTTTCTCGTCAATGTTTATGTGCTGATGCCAAATCCGATGTATGCCAGCTCAAGTGTTGAGCATTTTTTTCTAATCCAAAATGGCCACCAGAAAATACACTTTTTTTGTGAATAACGGCGATAATATTGTATTTAGACTCCAAGTATGTATGGAACATGTATATAAACTTGGGTATTGCGGACATTTTGGTACCAATACCATTACTCTATCTGGTGTAGTTCTTGAGATATGAATTTAATGGTTTTTATTTTTACGCAATAGCGGCAATTCCCAACGTGACTAGTCTGGGTTATGTTCAGGGACATATATAACATGTTTTAACAATTTCTCCACAATTCAAACCAGCTGGTTCCAAATCTGATGTATGCCAGTTAATACAGGTTGAGCATTTTTGAATAAAAACGATTAAAAATGGCAGCCAAAAACCTGAATAAACCAGATCTCTTCCCAAGGTTTGTGCCAAGGTTAGGAGGTATGCACTGTTTGATGAGTTTTGTGGGGGCAGCAGGGCCCTTGATGGCTGGCAGCGGCCTGGAAGACATTCTCAAGTCAACATGTGTTCGGGTGCCAAAGCTTCTCTCTGGCAAGAAGTTTCCAGAAAACATCCGAGCGCTTAGAATTGTGCCGGAAAAACTACTATGGTCATTACTGAACAAGGACGAGAAATCTAGCATTGACAACCTCATGACATACTTGGAAACTATCAGTAGGCGCAGTAGGACAACCAAACTGTGGGTTGACTGCCTAATAAAGCCTGTCCTGATCACCATGACCTTTGCACGTGCTGAAAGAGAAGGCAATTGACCACTTCATTTGTCTGCAGTTGAGAAAATGCTACCGTATTTCTTCTCATCAGGACATGTTAATTACGCACGGTATGGACTGTACTATCTGCGCTCTATGCAGCGGCTTCATCCAGATGTTCTGGAGAAGTTTCTACTGGGAGAACATGTCATGCATCACCAAGATGATTATTGGAACGGTCTGTGGTCTGACCTCTTCATCGAAACAACGTACGTGCGCTACGGCAAAGGGCCTTCTGGTATCATTGGCTCCACCCTGAATGAAACTGCTCTCGCCATCTGGGCTCTATCACTTAGCATGTTTGGACAGTTGAGGAGGGATCTGGAAGTGCTACAGGATGGGGAACATCAGACGGTGGTCACCTGTCATAAGGAGGAGCGACGCACACGCGTAAAAGCAGATGCTGCTGACAGACTGAAGATTCGTGAAGCACTGTGCACATGCATTGATGTGTTTGATAGTGACACACACCCAACTGGAAGTCTTGTCAACATATTTTCTTGTCAGGGTGTGGATGACAAAGGTGTCAATGCTGATGATTCCGTGAATATCGGCACTGATCAGTGGTTGGAGTATGAAAGGCAGTGGCCAGCGGAATTTCACAACAAGATATGTAAGAAGGTCAAACCAATGTCAGCCGTTACAAAGCAGAAGATGAAGAGTGGGGCTCCTGAGAACGTGAACACTGAACTTATCTATGCCCAAGTCATTAGAATCATGGCTTCTTCCAGGGAGACCATTTCTACCAAAACCCTCTTCTCCTATGAACTAGCTCCCTTTCCATCTGCTCTGTTCAATGCTAATGGTGACATGAGAACAACCTCCAAGTCTTTGCTGAAGTCCAAGATCAAAGTTATTCTAGATGGTTGTGCAATTCTGTGGACAGTTCCTTGGCCTGCATCACCTGCTCAGGTGTCAACTTTTGTCAATGCTGCTGTTGCTAGCATAATGCATCATGTGAATGGTACACAGGTTCTGCATGTAGTGTTTGACAGATACTATGAGACCAGCATAAAGTCATGCTGTCGCGCACAACGTGCAAACGGTGTCAGTCGTGTGTACAAACTTACACTTGATTGCCCACTACCAAAGCAAACTGTCACCTTGAATGTCACAGCTAACAAAGAGCAGATCATTTGAATGATCGTAGATGAACTGAGTTTGTCTGACATTCCCGAGGGCAAGAACATCATTGTGACAGGGCCTAATGCTCGTCCCATTGACGTAGGTACTGGTACCCAGCTCACACCAGTGACACATGAGGAAGCTGACATTCTCATTGCTTATCATGCAATAAATGAAGCTGTGGCAGGGCATTCATCTATCAAAGTTGTGTCTGACGACACAGATGTCCTTGTGATCTTGGCTCATCATCTACATGCGCAAACAAACGACATGCCAAGCACAGTACAACTTCTTATGGAGTCATGCACCAAAAATCGCGCTATGATTGAT